ATTCATGAATCCCATTCAGCCTTGGTATTAAGGCTGAGTCATATCCATCTTTTGTTCTGACATTTGGAATAGCATTCAGTAAAACTGATTCCACACAGAAGTCATGGGGTGATTTTAGTTATTAGTCTGACTGCAAATGTTATGTCAAAGTCAAAATGGATCATCGTCATGCTTTGATCACAAAAGTCCCATGATAGAGGCTGCAGTCACATTAGGTTGTTTTTTTAATAAACTGGCATTAGAGATACAGGATAGACACTATTTCACTGGAGATGATACTCTTATGGCGCATTTCCACTACACGGCCTCGCTCGGTATGGCTAGGCCTCGTTAGGACTGGCTCACTTTATGGCGCATTTCCATTACAGTTTAGGAACTGGGGTAGTATCTATAGTAACGCAGTGTAGGCGGAGCCGTGACGTCATCTTCAATGAGAACCCCAGAAAAACAACACAGCCGTTAGCTGTTAGCACTCAGAGCTCACAGCTCCTCATATATGTTCAGAAACTAGACAAAAGTTAAACAAGTACAAACCACAGACTGCCTGTGTCATGGTGAATACAGTCGCTGCTTTATTTATGTCTGTATAGGCCGTTGTTGTGAGTGTGGACGGTCGGAGCATATATTGCGTTAGCTTAGCCGATGTCCATTTAGAAAACACGCATTTTAAAAGGTTTTTCGCCTGCCGTCTGTCTGCAGACTTGTCAAAGCATTAATTCATGGTTTTTACTAACCGGTATCAGTATGTTGTTACTTCGGCATCATTTTGAAATGTGTATTAGAATTAAATCACGGTCAAATATGTTCATCTTGTTGTAGTTGTAGCCCCCTTGCCAGCGATGCTCTCTCTAGTTTAGCATACTCAGCCCGACTCAGCCTGGTTGTTCCTGGCCCTAGAACCACGATTTTATGGGGCCAGAAAAACTGTGAATTAGGACCCGCCGGCCGGTACTAGGCCAAGAGGAAACGCAACCAAAAACGGGCCGCTGACGTCACAGCTCTCTTAAACGGGGCTCCGCGCTGCAGTGGAAACGCGCCATTATAAGCTGGCTTGATTGCATTGAGTATATCAAAGTGTTTCAGGTAAGTTGTTCTTTGTGTTAAAGTGTACTGACTGCAGAGACCTGCTGCCATTCAATGAAACATCTTAAAGGCTGCCATGAACATTGCTCCAGTTTGTAATTTTAGGATTAAATAAAGTAAATTGCTCATCTAGAGTCTTCACCTTTTGACATCATAGGGGTTAATTTGACAAATGTTTTGAAAGCTTCCTTGATAGCTCAATACATAATTTGTTTCACAATCTGATTTTGGACTACTTGTGACAAGTAAACGTCATGATGAGTCAAATCTGTGCAGCGTCCCTCATGCGATAAAGGTGGAGGAACACCGTTGTCCAAAACATACCGCCCCTGACCAGAAGAACCCACAAGGAGAGGATAGAGAATCAGCCCATATGTGATACAGAGATACAATTACATTTACTATATTATTCTGTAAGCAGGTAATATATTATATTTTTTTCAAGAATATTTGAATGTAAAAGACAGTAAAACACCCCTGCCATTCAGGATACATGTTATTTTCACACAAGAAAGAGGCTTTGCTTAGAATTATTGCCTGAGCTTTCCTACACTACGATTGAAATGGATTTGTGTGTGCTCAGTTTTCATTTAGAATAGTCTCACAGCCTTGTAGTCTCTGCAGGAACAGAGCACATCTCTGTAAAGGCTGAAGGATGGGACTGATTCCTCCTCTGTGTTCCCTCAGGGTTTCTGATGAAGACGAGTCGTAATTGATTTAAAGCTTAAACCTGTTCCCGGGAGACGGCTTGGTTTCAAAAAGTAAAAGAAGAGGAGAACTGAAGCAATACCAAACAAGTGGAGCAGCTTCTCCAGTCCATGTTTGGGATGGTGCATCAAACTGAGCTTTTCCAAGTAGAGCCACAAGATGGCGCTCTGAAGTGGTGTCTGCACAACAGCAGCAAACAAGTTCAGGGTTCAGGCCTGTATTTAAAGTGAGGGATGCTCCATTACCACTGAGGCCTTTACTGTGCAGCTGTAACAACATCAGCACGATCACATACCTGATGGTCTCTTCACATCTCGACTAAACATTCACACATCTGAGGCTGATCAGAAAATATAGGAGTGAAAATGTTTCTTCTATACCTTTTTAGTCCTTCACATGATGACAACACAAGAGGGAAACCTCTTCTTAAACTTCATCTTCAAATATGGATTATATCAGAACACACATACACAAAACAGGCTTCATATGTGGAGTGGTAATGTGATCAGGAGTGCTGGTTATGAGCAGACACATGGTGGGGGTGTTTCCTTTCCTGCCTGTTTCTAATGTCAAATATGTTAGGCATTACATGAGCATGTAATGCTTTGATTCAAACAAACACAACAGAAACACACGTAAAACTCCTGATTCAGCATGACCCATGTGTAAAGTATGCAAAGTTCTTTAATTATACTCATGCACATACCAGGCAACATAACCCTAAAGTTAGTATTCCTCATATACAAGATGAGACAGACGTTTCCTGAGAGAGACACAGAGAGGCTATGTGTGCAGAGTGTGTGTGTCAGTGTGTGTGTGCAGACTGCAGTCAGGGGGGATGGTAGGGGAGCTGGTAGACTAGAGTGCATTTGGTATTCAGCCGTGCCTAGTATTTATCTGTCTGCTGGCTGTCTGGTCTGGCCTGTTAGTGGTGTCACCCTGCGTGCTCCCCGGGGGACTCAATTGACGCTCCAGACAGACTGCGTGTGTGTCTGAGTGTTTGTGAGTGTTTGGCGGTGGTGGGGTGTTTTTGAGTGGATAGAGGTAGGTTGCAATAGCGAGAATCAATGTGTGTGAGTCGGGGTGTATATGAGAGCTTGTCTGGGGTGTGTTTTATATGTGTCTGTGTGAGGACACCAAAATGACCTCCCATTAAGGCGGAAAAACTATCCTCAGTGTCTCAATGGATAATTCTGCTTTAGCTGACAAGACAGCAGCGCCTCAATTTGTTGCTTCAATACAATTATGACAGCTGCCATGCGTTTGTAAATTGCGTCAGGGTCACGCGCCTATTTTTTCTCCCATTCCAAAAGTGTTAGTGCGCTCATGAAGGAGTGTCAAAGCCGTCAAGGAAAATATTTTCATATGATGGAATATAGAACTTGGCTAGTGATGCGGCAATTAATGCACAACATCTGTTCGAGCTCTTTGCTTTTCCCATTAACTTATTTTCCTTCACAGAGGTCAGTTGTGTTGGTTAATGGTGCTTTCAGAATTAAAATAGAGACCACCCCTGGATCAGGCATTTAAATATGATACTTTTATAATTTACTGCAGAATAGAGCCAACCACTGACAGACCCCCTGCTTTATTCTCTCTCTCTCTCTCTCTCTCTCTCTCTCTCTCTCTCTCTCTCTCTTTCGATCTCATACTCTATCGCTCATCTCAGTCTCTCGCTCTCTCACTCTAGCTCGATCTTGTCTCTCTCTCTCTCTCTCTCTCTCCCCTGTGTACCTGAAGTAAGGAACACTTTGTGAGGGGCCACCTAAAGACCCTTTAACGACCTGCTGGTCAAGACTGAAGTTCAGAGCCTCTCTCTGATTTGAACAGCTTAGTTTATTTATAGACTGAAGACAGTGTTGTGTTTGTTTGTTTGTGTGTGTGTGTGTGTGTGTGTGTGTGTGTGTGTGTGTGTGTGTGTGTGTGTGTGTGTGTGTGTGTATGTGTGGTTCTATGCTACACATGTGCCCCTGAACCACAAGACTGGTGCGGGGGGTCACCTCAAGGTTAGCCCCTTCAAAGGGCCGTCTCTATTGGCTGCGGCCCACCGTAACAAGGGAGTGAAACTGGAAACGCTCACCCCACCCTCCCCAAATAACACACCAGACCTGGCTGTCCCAACCCCCCCACCCCCCCTCTCCCCTGCTCTGCTCTCCCACAGCCATTGTCAACTGCGACCCGGCCGTCTGCTAGCCTTCTGAGTCAGGTCAGCCGAAGGGGGGGGGCACACACACACAAACATATAACCCCTGCCCCATCCCTACTCTGATGATGCCTTCAAGTCTTCCTAGTACAATTCTACATTGTAGTTGTGAATATGTATGTCAATGCACATTCAGGTCTTTTTAGTGACAAACTGTGTGGACCTTTCAATAACAGTACATTCATTTTGGTAAACTTTAACTTTAGAAATAATTGATGCTTTACTCATTCTGCAGGGAAACAGTAAAAGTGTTATGGCTAAAACCTTTTCTTTTAGTTTTTTAAGCTGCTTCAAGCAAAAACGTATGAAGCTGATAAACAGTTGCAGCCCTCTCAGTTGTATAAATTGCAATTGTACTAATGGTCAGGCAGCAAAAGAGCCAATTAATGCAATCTGCAGCTAATATATGCAAGCACCTCATGAATATTAACTACTCTCAAAAGACAGCACCACAACAAGCTTGACTGAAACAGGGGCCCCTGCACAAACAAATAGTATTTTACTCATTTAAAGACAGTAACTTGCTGTGACGTGCTAAACACTGTTCTTTTGGTGAGGTAATTTAAGCCTCTATAACAAGAACATTTGTTCAATTTCGTATGAGTATTCCTATAGTATGTGTACAAAAAGTTACTTATCAAATGGTAAAATGTTGCATCTCCTATTTGCATCATCCAACCAATATTTCCCCTTTAATGTTAACAACAAAAATGTATTTTGAGTCAGTTCAATCGCTACCCTCATAAGACATTTACACGCCCTGTCACATGATGCCTGTATTTGAAATCCAGACACTTCCAGTTTGTATTTTTTCAGTCTGAGATTAGGCCTATATGGTATTTTATAAAAATGGCCACCGGTTGAAGTTAGAATCGCTGTATTTCTGTCTGCTCCTGAAGGCAGCACGTCTCTTTCCCCCTGTCTGTCCCTCCTCTGGAGCCCTCTGATTGGCCAGAGTGTCAGTCTTTCAGTGTGTGGGCGAGGCCTCAGCCCGCTGTTTGCTCTGCTGTAGTAGAGGAAGGACAGCTGCTCTCGGCGGCGGAGGAAGGAACGGAAAACACTCTACAATGCGTTAGCCCGTGGCAATGGCAATGGCCCGTCCCCAAATCTCCTTCTAATTCACTCTGTGTGCCGCTCAGAGTCAAACATGGCGTGAGAATAACCGTGGAAAATAAGTGCGAAACTGTCGGGAGTTACTGTAGCGGCGGACTGCGCTGCCGCTGCCGGGAAGTTTTTTGTTGTTTTCCAGTCGTGGGGCCCCGACAGTGGCGGCGGCGGCGGCTCTCTCTCCGGAGTGGTGTCCCGGTCCGCCCAGCCCCATGCAAAACCTAACGGCCCCTGGCGGCCCCGGCAACTCCAATGTCACCTGCTCCTGCAACTGCACCGCTTCCCAGCCACAGGGAATGGAGATATGTGAGTAACATTTGTTGCGTTTCTCCTCAACGTTAAAAAGCTACCAGGAGTCTTTAGTGCCTAATCCCTTTCATACAGTGTAGCAGCAGAAGGAGGACTATCAGACATAAATTACTCTGACTCGCTGTTGGCCGGCTCCCCCCGGGCTGATAGCATTTTCCTTATGAAAAGTAGCCTATTACTGTAATACTACTGTATGGCACTGTATGTCTGCTGTCTAATATAAACATCATGGTGACATTAGAGTACTTACTCATTAGAGTACTTACTCGTGTTTAAAGTTTTTATTTAACTTAAAATACCCTACAATAATGACTTTTTAGTGGTTATCCAACTTTATTTGTGAGCTCTTTTAATTGGCTAGCCGTTAACATATGGGTTTGTCCTATTACATGTCTATGTGTATATGTTAATGTAAAAATCATTAGCATTAGCATTACACATATACCTACTTGAATGATTTACTATTTTATTGCAAGTTTCCTTTAATATTTCTTCCTACTTTAACTGTTCTGTTTTTTTTCTACTAGCGGTTTTCTGCCAAATGTTATATTCAAACTTTGGGATTGAGCCTTCTAGGCCTGCGGGGCTGTGCATATGCTCTGAGAGATCACCACAGAGGGTTAAATAGTTTGCCTGTCAGCATAGACAGGAAACGCTGGAATGGTATGTTATGTCTGTCTGCCTTGTGAGCAGCCCAGAGAGAAACTATCATTATCAGCTCTGCTCTAACACTGCTGTCTGCTGGATCCACTGCAGATGTTCATCTTTATGACTGAGGCACAGACAGACCCACACAAGAGCAGGCAAAGACAGACAGACAGACAGACAGACAGAGACAGACAGACAGAGACAGACAGAGACAGACAGACAGAGACAGAGACAGACAGACAGACAGACAGACAGACAGACAGACAGACAGACAGACAGACAGACAAGCTACAGACGGACGGACAGAGTTACAGTGATGTGTAATTTCCATTGGGGCCAGGCCTGGTGAACGCAGGATATTAGTTGTAGATTTGGTGTGTGTGTGTGTGTGTGTGTGTGTGTGTGTGTGTGTGTGTGTGTGTGTGTGTGTGTGTGTGTGTGTGTGTGTGTGTGTGTGTGTGTGTGTGTGTGTGTGTGTGTGTGTGTGTGTGTGTGTGTGTGTGTGTGGTGTGTGTGTGTGTGTGTGTGTGTGTGTGTGTGTGTGTGTGTGTGTGTGTGTGTGTGTGTGTGTGTGTGTGTGTGTGTGTGTGTGTGTGTGTGTGTGTGTGTGTGTGTGTGTGTGTGTGTGTGTGTGTGTGTGTGTGTGTGTGTGTGTGTGTGTGTGTGTGTGTGTGTGTGTGGTGTGTGTGTGTGTGTGTGTGTGTGTGTGTGTGTGTGTGTGTGTGTGTGTGTGTGTGTGTGTGTGTGTGTGTTGGCCTTGGCTGCAAAAAAAAAGTCAAATACTTGTGTGGATAAATACCAGCAGTGCACAGTGAATGTATGATTATTCATGTATGTGTTACTATGGCCTGGTAGTTTTCACTGTATTTCTCATCATCTGAACTAGTTGGAGGGAGCTCAATTCACAAGTGGTCTGAAATAGCTGTGTCCTACTGTAGTGGCCGTCTGGTTTGAAAAGAGCTCTTGTTTGTCGGCTGTGTTGTCATGCAGACTCGGCAAGGCTGAATAATGTAGCTCATGCTTTGATGATTTCTCTGGCTGGAGAAAAGAGCTACAGTCTGCCTTTTTTTTTTAAGCAGAGCGGGCGGTCTCACTGGTGTATTTCCTCTTTATTCAGACGAAGAGGGAAATTGAAAGGGACTAGGAACATAGAGGGATCACAGTGCAGACAGTGTGTCACGGCCAGGAATCGAACCTCTGCTTACATACTGGGATTCACGTGATTCGATTGAATTTGTGTTAGTCTCTAGCCATTGCTGTTCTTGGATTCATTGAGTGGTGCAGTTATCTCATATGTAGGTGTAGTATTATAAAGTCCTATAAAGTCCTAAACTGAAACAGCTTCATGTAGACTTGCTCCGTTTGTGCATACTCTTAAGCCTACAGTTAGCAGTCAGGGAAACACGATTAACCCTTAAGCCATTACTCATGTCATTTTCAAATGAAATGTTATAGGAGGTTAGACTTCTGTGTGAAGGTGAAGTCCCTGCAGGGTGACATCACGGGTAGGTCCTCTGCAAACATGTTCCACTCTTAAGTCATTTAATCTATCATGACTCTTATCAGTCCTGTCTTTCTTTAACAAGTGGGGAAATACCATATGCCTGCTGCACGAGGTCATTACACTTGTATAACTAATGCAAATACCGGTGTGTTTTCCATTCAACAAACCTCATGTTGATAGTGCTGGTTGTTTTGTTTTATGGATTCCAGAAGATTATTTCACTAAGTCAATGTTCACCAGCAATAAGAAACATTTCCAAGTAAAAAACGAAGATCTTAGGGTTCAAAGCTTTTAAATGATATAGGATTTATTTTAACGTTACTTAAAAACTATAAAAAGAAATTGCAAGCACTTTCTATATTTTCAAAAATATGCCTGAAATAAAATAATGATTAGATGTATAACCATAAAACTGTAAAGTACAGAAAACTTACATTTAAAGTTTGGTAGCAAATCTCAACAAATATCAAGCCAGACCCAGCCATGACTTAGAATACAAAGATGTTAAATGTGTAGTGTGTGTGTGTGTGTGTGTGTGTGTGTGTGTGTGTGTGTGTGTGTGTGTGTGTGTGTGTGTGTGTGTGTGTGTGTGTGTGTGTGTGTGTGTGTGTGTGTGTGTGTGTGTGTGTGTGTGTGTGTGTGTGTGTGTGTGTGTGTGTGTGTGTGTGTGTGTGTGTGTGTGTGTGTGTGTGTGTGTGTGTGTGTGTGTGTGTGTGTGTGTGTGTGTGTGTGTGTGTGTGTGTGTGTGTGTGTGTGTGTGTGTGTGTGTGTGTGTGTGTGTGTGTGTGTGTGTGTGTGTGTGTGTGTGTGTGTGTGTGTGTGTGTGTGTGTGTGTGTGTGTGTGTGTGTGTGTGTGTGTGTGTGTGTGTGTGTGTGTGTGTGTGTGTGTGTGTGTGTGTGTGTGTGTGTGTGTCCGGATGTAAACGGCCTGATCTGTAATCCTGTGTGTGAGTGCTGTTAGTGTGTAGGTGGCAGCAGGGTCATCTGTCAACTACCTCAGGCCAAACACGCACACTTGTTGACTCTCCATCAGACACATACACAAAGATGTACACATAGGCACGCACATTTACACCTAGCTATAGGCTCAGACACACACAGGCACTCTCAGGCTCAGCCAATATTTACCCTGCAGTCTCCCGCCAGACAGCCAATCCAATCTCTCACTAAGCTCTTTGTTGTTTGTCTGGGGTTGGTTTTTGCCTCTTTATTTTGTTTGTAGAGGTGTTGTACATTTGGAATTAGTTTGTTTTTTATTTAGTTTTATTATTAATGAATTTCAATAATGAGCCCTGGAAAAAAAAGAGACTTCAAACTCAGAGTCTGAGACAAAGCAGAGACCTTGGGGAGGGGAGTGGCAGAGACAACCTAACAACAACTTTAAGAAAAAAGAAAAAAAGGTTTTTGGGTTTTTCCTCCCAGACAGATTTATTCTACGATCACTGCTCCTATAATTAATTTCTAAGGGAATTTATACGCTTGGTTAGTGTTTCTCAGTGGAGCCCTATGTAGTCTGCCACCTCTCCTGAGCTGAGTGTTATGGCAGTGAACAGTGGTGCTCAACATGCGGGGGTTAAGAAAGGGCTCCTTGTCTGAGGGTCCCCAGACCCTGTGTTTACACTGTGAGCTGACCTGCTCACACACTCTGCGGGCCCCAGCAGCTTTAGCACATGTTCTGGTACAGAGCACTGCAAACTATCCATATTGTAAAGTCATCTGAGAGGATATTGTTTTTTTCTCAGTTACATTAATATAGCAGACTACTACTCCGGATGCTGAAATATTTAACTAGCCAAACTATGTCAGCGTAAGTGAGTTTCAAATTTCCGACCAACAATCCAACCACCCAAAAGAAAATCAATGTACTATTGCACAGTGAAGTACATATTCAAATAGGGGAAGATGGGACCAGTTCTTTTTTCGAAATTTTTATTTAACTATAACTTAACCTGTTAAGCCCGGAGCCCCCGCCCCCGGGGGCTAAAAACAACAATATTCACGAAACTGTGTCTCAGGGCTTCTTAACATTTAACAACCTATGAATGTGTCATACCCACTTAACGGGAAGAAACTCAGCTAACGGACTATATGAACAATTTTTACCGAAACAAAACACAACTCTAACGCCGAGCCTCTGAATTAGCACTAAGCGAAAGGGTGCTAATGCACTTAGCACATAACTCACGGTAGCAATCTTTTATACTTCATCGGATCTGCACAAACAAGATATCATATGAAAGCTGAGAATCCACAGATTCCAATGGTATAAGTATCATCACTGTGCGACCAGAACTCACGGCAGCGAAAGTCAGGAAAGACAACACACAACTTCACTTTACGTGGCCAAAACGGCAAATACGTTTTACCTTTGCTGTTTTATGATCAAAAGTTGTGTTCAAGCGCATTAAAACGCAGATAAACGCTGCTGAAGGTTAATCCAATGTCTCTGTGTCACTTTGAAATGATTACTGATAATCCATCATAACATTTATGGCAATAATCTGAGTTTTCATATAGAGTGTATGAGAGCTTCCGGTTTTGGGCATGCTGGCTGCGCATCACTCTCATTCACCAATGGTAATGTTTAGATGGATTTAGGAACTCCCTCTCGATTCTATTGGCTCTAACGGTTAAAAAGAGGTGTCAATCACCAACATCGATCGATGGGTTCCAGAGATATGGTAAATGCACCCAAATGACCTCAGAGGTGTTTTTTTCTTCTTCTAAATCTCTCTAAAAAGGTCAAATGTCACTTGTTTTGCATCAATCTTGATACAGGGTACTTATTATATGTTACAGGTTGAATTCCTAAAGCGAGGGATGCTCCGATCGCCAATTTTGGGGC